TTGGTGCAGGAGATGATGATTCTAGAAACTACATCTGCCACTCCTGGGGCCAATGCTCTTTGCTAAATCAAAGGCCACATGTGCAAGTAATTCTTATCACTGAAGGGTTAAGGGCAAGCATACCCTCTCCCCTCTGCATTTCATCAGTTTAACGCAGCTGCCAGTCTCCCAATGGAGCCAAGCATTTATAATTCAGAGAAAAGCTTTTGATCAACCCTACCCTAGAAACCCAAATATACCTTCAGTTTTTATTGAGATTATTAGAAAATTATTGGAAATGCACCCTGATAATGATGAAAAGTACCACCGTACACATACATTCCCACTCTGGAAAATAAAACAACTCAGGGATTACTGCCTGGAAGAGGTAGTAACAACACTCCATCCATCCCCCTTCTCACTCGCCTTTTCCCTCTCAACAGGAAAAAAGCGAGAAAATAAATCAGCATGCCTCTGATAATGGCCTAACTTCACTCCTACCCATCCATCTGCTCCGTGGACTTCATGGCAAAGGCTCTCCATGGAAGAGGTTGAAAAAGAACATCTTGCAGAGGGAAATAGATTGAAATGTTAAAACCTGACCTTCCCTGTCCTTTTCACAAGTCATTACATTTGGAGTGCATGCATCACACTGACAGGCCGTCTCTCCCCTCTGATCTGGGAAGTCCAGACTTCCCAAAAAAGGCAGTTCAAGTCTGCCTTGAAAGGAAAAACTGAAAAGTACACTTTTGGACCAAATCAATATTTAACTCCATGCCTGAAAACAGAATAGCACAGTGAAGATGCCAAAATGAATGACATCTAAAGAGAAACATTAAGTACACCGCACTTGGGTCGCTTCGAAGACATTTCTGCCAACTTTATAGTTTTGAAACTTGTACTTACCAGATTCAAGTTTTTTTTTTTTTAAACAGCTTTATTGCTAGTTCCAGGCCTTTCTGTTCTTGTTCTTTCCTACCAGTTGTAAGCCGAAGGAAGCATAATATAATATTGGGGGTGGGTGGGGAAGCAGGGAGTAGAGATACAAATCTGGGTTAAAAATCCTAGACTGGGTATCTAATAACTTAAGTAACTTCAGTCAACTTAAGTAATCTTAGTTCCTCATCTTTAATATTGCTGATAGCCGGAGTCATTGTGAGGATTAAGTGAGAACATGGAAGCATAGGGCATACTCAGAATAGATGTTCAGAAAATGTTCCCATTTCTTCCTAAGTATGGTGACCACATTCAACCTCAGGGCCAAGGAAAAAACTGAAAACGAAACCGACTCAAACTAATCACACACCAAAGTAGTTCCTGGTGTTAAACAAGATACTACAGCCCTAAGCCATCACTTCCAAATCTGTGTTTTTGAATCTGCTCACAGAGTAGCCTGACATCTGCTATCACACAGATATGGCAGCCGGGATGGAGGACTTACAATTTATCTTTTCCTCTGAGACTCAGAAAGGACAGCTCCGAGACACAGGGATTGAAGGGCTTGCATTTTAACTTGTAAACAGTGACGGCAAGCCAAAAATCAGTGAACAATATACAGAGCATCTAACGTCCAAAGAATTATTCTTGGACAATCAATTGTTCACCACATCCAAAAATCACCTTCAGAGCACCATCTCTGATAATAAAGGTCATGGGAGTATTTGTGTGTGTGTGTGCATTCCCAACAATTAGACAAAGTTTAACAAATGTAATAGTCACTTGGATAATTATAAATGTGTGGGACCCAAAAACACAGCCAATATTACTCATAAAATATACAAAATAAATACAAAATACCTTAAAGGAACAAAGACTGAAGCGGATGACTGAATTTATAATTTATGAAACACTTCCATGGAAGAGTGCAACAGAAACATTGTACATACACAAAGGTATATCACCTTACAGCTCTGTCTGACAGGTAGGTCCAAGGATGCCAATAGCTAAGTGTATAAAGGAGTCAGTAATCTTTTCCCTTAAATATAAGGTTTATAACTATCATTGTAATAATGAACACAAGTTCAGGGAGGGAGAAGATTCTTTAGGAGAGTTTTAACTCAAGATTTGGATCCGATTTTTACTAGTCATTAACTACAGAAGTTCAGTAACTGAAATCTCTATTCAAAAATTCCATTTTTTTTCCTGTTAAAAGAACTTTTTTAGAGTCTATCCCTTCACTGTTCTTAATTCAGCAATCTTTCACTCTCTCATCTTTCCATTTATGCCCAGTACTTTTCTAGATATACACAGCTTAACTTATATGGACTGATGAGAGGGTAGTCATTGAGTAGGTTTTATCTCAAGATTTTTGATAAATAGATGGACTTCTGTTATTCAAATTTTTATTTACTCTTCCTCAGTGCTTTAAATATTCTAGAGCTTGGTGGGGTGAGAGGAATTACTTTCCATGTCTGAGGGCTCAATCATTGCTGCAACCCATGTTTACAATGAGGTATTTGTATACTTTTCTATATAGTATTACTATCCAGTTTTCCTCCCCAAAACTTACATGATCTTTATCATACAGGAAATAAAACTAGTATCAATAATGCCCAAAGGATTCCCACTGTGTGAGGGCAGAGAATTCCTCCATACACATGCTCTGAACATTACTACCTATAACCTGTCCTTCAAGCTTGATCTCCAGAATTAAATGGTTTGAGCTGATCTGTTAAGTAATTCATGAAGAAAAAGCACAGTTGAGAGCATCACATGGACACCTTTAGAAAAAAACTGACCACAAGAGAAGTCACCATAACTCTGTACTTCTATCAGCCCATAAAAAGGATTCCTTTTAACTCCCCCTACAGATTTCCGAACAGCAGCTGGAGCTGACTAGGGAGTTACATTGACCACCACATCAATGGTCCAAGTGCATCCCTAACAAGAGGGCCCCCAAGCTGATACTTTCCCAAAAGCTTTGTCTTAACCCAAAAAAGGTCAGCCTGGTATTTTTTAGTCTTGTTGTTCGTTTGCTTTGAAAGCTGCAAAATATTATAAACAGTTAAAGAAAGGAACCGCATCCAGTGCTTCTGTATGACAGAGTAAAAGGAGCTACACAGTAACCACTGCCCCAAAGGGCTTGAGAGGTAGAAACATGAATTTCTATATACTAAATCTGTGCCTTCTAGATTTAACAGTAACACAGATCCACCATATTAATGATGGGACATTATTTTCCTAAAGGGTAATTCATACCATGTGTCATTAATCTGCAGGGTAACTCAAAACTCATGCAAAACATGCTATCCCAGTTGAGAACTTAATTGCATTATTGTTATTATCTGGTTTGTCTGCGTCACGGCCCTCCCACTTCAAGTGTAGGTACACACGCGCACACACACCACCCCCAGCACACACACACACACACCCACCCACACACATACACACACACACTCACACACACACACAAACACACACAGACACAGACACACACACACCCNGACGGAAAGACAGAACACCCAAGGCTAGGAGGTAAGAACCATGTAGTCTGGTAGAAAGAGGATTTTGAACCAAAAAGGTTTGTCCCTGGAAAGACAGGCCAAGTTTGCACCCAGGCTGCCTTCAAAAGTAATTAAGCCGATGCAGTTCCATTTCAGTGTTTCAGCCTGCACAACAATGGGAGCAGCTGTGTGAGATCTCAGACCACGGAGCGCAAGGCAGGCAGCCTCATCCATCTCGCCACAGCCACCACGGAGTTTCCCGTCGTGTGAAAAAGCTCGTGCGCTCTTCTTCCAAAGAGCACAAAGCTAATCTGCCATCCAGAACAGTCCCCATATTAAACCAGTCCTTTTCAAGGGTCTAAAGAAAGGCTTTTTCAACGTCCCAGTGTTCTTCAGACTCTGGTCAATCCCCAAAGTTGGGAGGTTACATGCCCAAATCCCGTAAGCAGACGCGAAATTCGACTGCCTCAAGCACAAGTTTCTCTTGCTGCCTACCATTGTAGGATGTACAGGTAACTAGCTAGGAAAAGGCATGAGTGCCAAGTATCAGGAACGCGTCGAATCTTGCTTGTTTCCCCCCCAACACCCCTTAAGGGAGGCTGGGACACTAAAAGTCGAAGTCTGGGGACTAACTGCGGTCCAGACGTCGGCTGGGGCGGGGGGAAGACCGCCACACCCTCCTGAGCTCACAGCACTGACAGTCTCAGGCTGGGAGGGGCCCAGAAACTTACACCCAGCATGGAAAGGCAGAAAGAAGGGAGTCTTCAAGTGTCTCAGATTTACAAAGCTGGAAAGCTAGGAGAAGCGGATTCCGGGAGGGAGTCAGAGATTTGGCGAGGGGAGGGGAGGGATCCCTAGAGTCAGGACAGCTTGCAACACGTCCCCGCAAAACTGCACATTTTTGTGGTTTGTTTTAACATTCAAGACCAAAAGAAGCGCCGAGGCGAAGCTTTTCTCTCGCCGGTTTCAGATGTCCCCCTCCTCGCTTAGGGACTGGGACGCCGCACTGCCGCGGCTTTCCTTCTCTTTCCCTTTTGGGGGAGCTCCCCTCGGCCAAGCCAGGCGTCCGCCACCAAGTTCGCCTTCGCTCACCGCGCCGCCCTCAACCCGCCACATGCGCCCATCAGCCCCGAACCCCGCAGGGCCCCGGCTGGGCGCCCGCTGGATGGTTCTCGAGGACTCGGGATTTGCGGGGAGTTTTTTTCTTAAACAAAAAGCCTTAGCGGCCAGCCGCCCCCTCCTCCAAGCCCGCGCCACCTTCCCTTCACGCCCACGCCGCACCTCCCCGGCACACGCGCCGCGAGGTGCCTCTCCCGCCAGACAATGGGTTCGGGGCCGGCCAGTCAGCCAACCCCCAACCCCGTGCCCCATCCCGGAACCCCAAGAAGGCTTGGCGCGGGTAGATCGGAGGAGGACGGAGAGGAGGCCAAGGGAGGCCACAATAAGCGAAGTGGGCGCCTCCCCCTTGGGACCGGGGATTCGCTCCCGGCGCGGGGAGAAGGGGAGGGGGCGGGGGTCAGCTGCACCGCCTGGTCTGGGGCCCCGGGGCCCGGCTCCCGGCCGCCGCCGCGCACTCACCAGCACGATGGCAAATCGCTCCTCCAGTTCACCTGGCTCGGGCATCGGTAGCTTCAAAGGCACGCTGTGCGCCCTGAAATCGGTCTGCTGTGAATCCATGCTCCCGGCGTTGCCCATGTTGGCTGCACGCCGGGGCAGGGGGCTGCTCCGGGCCCCCTGCGTCCGCGTCGGAAATCAGAACAGCTCCCGGCAGCCGGCTCCCGCCCGCTGGCGCGACCAGCCCGGCTCCCCGCCCTCCGCTGCGCCCCGGCGAGTGTGCAGCGCGCGCCGCTCCCTAGCAGCGCTCCGAGCCGAGCCGCCCCCCGGCCTGCCTCATGCTCCCCGCCGCCCCAGCGCCGCCCCGGCCTCCTTTCCTCGGGAGGGGTCGTCAGGGCGCTGGGCGCCTATCTGCATGTTGCTCCGCTGGCACGCCGCCCCCTGCCAGCGATAGCGGCCAGTGGGCGCGTGGTTGCTCGGACTTGGTCTCCCGCCGGGACAGTGATCGGCGCTGACACTTCCAGCTCTACGCCGGCGATCACGACGCTAGCTCGACCAGCACCTAGAGCAGACAAATGCAGCTCCGCGCTCCCGACACAATGCCCCCTCTCGCCCGGCCCCCGCCCCCGGCCCGGCTCCGCCCACTCGCCCCGCGGACTGCCGGGACCAGTAGTTTCTGCCCAAAGTGTCTGCACGCAGAAACCACGCCCGCTCTGGAGGGCCCGACTGGGTTAGGGCCGCTTGAGCACCTTTGGGAAGTGTCACTTTGGACCCCCAACCCCACGCCACTCCAATGGAAGAGATACTAATCGTCTACATCGATTAGTAGGCACTCAGGCACATTTGGCAAGTGAATGAATTAGCCAATCAGTCAATGATTGAATGCACGCATTCTGATTTAAATTTCAGGAGATGTTCAACAGGAGACCTCATGGGTATTGGCAACTTCCTACGTCATAAACTGGGATGTGGGTCCATGGGTGTTTGTTTTATTCTTTCTTCCCTGTGTATGTTACACATGCACATATTCTTTTGTGCAACTGAAATGTTTTATAAACAAATATACTTTTATGGATATTTACAAACATGCAGATGGATATATACATATATACATCCTGGTCAGACCCCAGGATTTGGATGAGGAGGATTCAAAACAAATACCTGTCAAATAGCTATTACGAATGGGTTACTGTGTTCCTTGACTAGAGAAAGAAAGACTTTCCAGTCGAACGAAGGAGAAAATTTACACAACCATGCTTTGCATGAGAAATAAGAACAGAGCAATTGAAAAGGCTCTGGAGATGGTCCTTGGCTGTAGCTGTTCTATTCCTCTATAGCACTCTTGTTCCAGGTGTCTTACAGAGAAGACTGGGCCCAACCTTGCCCTTCCTGTGTGCTCTTCAGACTGTACTATCCATTCTGAGACAGTGGGAATAGAGACAGCCTTAGAAAAGCGTTTAGCCACGTCTCCCTTTGCAGATTTCAAGGATACCCACCTGGTTGACTTGTGGCTGCAGTCCTGTGATTAGTCCTTTCTTAGCTTAAAGTAGTGTTTCTTAATCCTGGTTCCTGTAGCAGATTCACATGGGGAGGTTGTTAAAACTGCACTGCAGGATGGGCCCTGACTATTATCAGAATTTCCCTAAGCTAAGAGCTAGGGCCTGGACAGGTATATTTTTAACAAGCCCTCCAGGTGCTTCTGATATGAGACTGGAGTTGTTACCCTCTTGTTAAAAATCAACTGCTTCTAGATGCTGCTGCTGCTGCTAAGTCACTTCAGTCGTGTCATAATAGTAAATGTGTTACCAATCAAAGAAAGAAAAACAGGGACACACACACACCAACTAGTGAAAATGAGTGAGAAAGAAAAGCAGCTAATTCAGACCAAGTGAGACATTTCTGACCCACAGATCTATTTATTTTCTTTGTAATCTCTAAACATACACTCTGGGTCTGATTGACTCACAAAATTAGCCCACCTAGGGGGTTGCCCATCTGGATGGAAAATCTAAGATTCTTTTCTGCAGTTGAGAAATCTCTTTTTATTACATTTATGGCTCCCTCTGACCATATTTCTGCCAGTAACCAGGACGTTTTTTCCCCCTAAGTCTTATCACATCTAATCTCTCCCATAATCTCACACTTTGAGAGGAGCCAGGGACAAAGTGTGCAAATCCAGAAATCAAAAGAACCTCTCTGCCATTTCAAGGTCTGCAGTCTCTAATATTTGTTATTATGTATGACTCTTGTTAAGTGCAAAAATAAATAAAACACTCATTATATTATATAATTTCTGTAGGAATTTCTACCAAAATCTCAGAAAAATGTTCATTTAGGGGCAGTGTGGACAGAAAGGAAGAAGACATTTCTATTCCTTTAATTGAAGTCCTCTTCCTCCCTCCCCACAAAATTTAAAGCAAGTGGTCATTTTAAAGTATGTATTTCGTTTTCTGATCACTAATACCTATGATTTACAATTTTGCAAAGGTGCAAACTATTGGCAAAAAGTCTGTTGAAACTATCCATTCAGCTTCCATGGAAAATGAAATATTAAAACTTTATCTGCTCTCTGCCAGGAATTTGCAAACTATACCAGGGATGGCTTGATCAGGAATTCCCCTATAACAGAGTCGCTGCTTTCAAAGAAGCTTTTCCATCATTCACAATACTCCTTACAAGACTGGCTGAGTTTCATTGGTATCTCCTCAGGTTTTTAACGTAAGGAAGTGCCCTGTAGCAAAGTTCACTTAGCTTCTTTAAAGGCACTGGTGTTATCCTAATAAAATTCCCTGTGTGTGTATAACTGTATAGAAATGAGATAAGTGTGATGTGATGAACTAAATATGATGATCAATAGCCCTGAATCAAATTTGTGAAGTGGTAGTAGCTGGACTTCAGGATTGCTAAAGCTAGAAGGATTGCTTCATGTCAAGTTACATCCACAAAAGTACTACAAGATTCACATACCCATCTATATTTATTTTTAAGGGTTTATTGAGCACTTACTAACAACCAGACACTGCTGTTGATTTTAAACAAAATTTAAACATTGTTTATCCAATTTCTTTTTCATACAAATATCCTCAATCAAAGTTAACTCACAAAGACTCTTCCTTCTCCTCCTGAATCAGTTAAGATTGAACATTTCTGCCACCAAATAAAAGAGAACCTAAATGATAATGGCTTTCACAAAAAAAAACAAGAAATCTGGAGAAAGGTGAATTCTAGTATGGGTTCACCAAGTGGAATTTATCCCAGGAATAAATTTATCCCAGGTTGTTATCAGCAGACAAAAAAAAAAAAACCACACACACACATGATGATCTCAATAGATGACAATCATCTGACAAAATCCAACAACCCTTCCTGATAAAAATCTTCAGATTACTAGAAATAGGAAAAAAAAAAAAAAACTAATTCACTTTGATAAAAGACATCAACATAAAACCTACTGCCAATACATACTTAATGGTGACAGAGGAAGTGCTTTCTCCCTAAAATCAGAAATAAAGCAAGAATATCTTTTTCACCATTTTAATTCAACAATACTTGGGAGAGTCTAGCCAGTGCAACAGGGTAGAAAACAACCAACCAAAATGCATCCAGTTTGAAAAAGAAGTAAATTGTCTTTACTCGCAAATGTCATTATCTATGTAGAAACTCTTACAGAATCTAGAATATAGTAGAATTAACATGTGAGTTTAGCAAGTTTTCAGGATATACAAAATTGTATTACTTTGTAGTAGAAATAAACTTCCAAAAACTTAAATTTAAAATACCGTTTATGTTATTTTAAATGGTATTTTAAATTTCAAAAACTTAAATTTAAAATACAGTTTTTGAAAGTTTATTTCTACTACAAAGTAATACAATTTTGTATCTCCTGGGATAAATCAGCCAAAAGATGTACAAGGCTTATACACTAAAAACTGCAGTATATTGTGTACATGGGTCAGAAGACTCAATATTTTAAGATGCAATTCTCCCCAAATGGATCTATAGATTTAATGTATTCAAAAATAAAATCCTAGCAGACACTTTTGTAGACACTGACAAGCCACTTCTAAGATTTATGTGGAAATTAAAGGACCTGGGGCTTCCCGGTGGCTCTAGTGGTAAAGAACTCGCCTGCCAATGCAGGAGACGCAGTTTGATCCCTGGGTCTGAAAGATGCCCTGAGGAGAGCATGGCAACTCACTCCCATATTCTTGCCTGGAGAATCCCTTGGACAGAGGACCCTGGCAGGCTATAGTCCATAGGATCATAAAGAGTTGGACACTGCTGAATCGACTTAGCATGCATGCAGGATAGCCAAAACAACTTTGAAAAACAAACAAACCAAAAAAAAAAAAAAATTGGCCGGNCAATGCTGTTGGGATTATAAAATGATGTAACCACTTGGGAAAGCAGTTCAGTGTTTCTTAAAAATGTAAACATACACCTACCATAAGATTGAGCCATTCCACTTGAGTATTTACCCAAGAAATATTCATAGCAGCTTTATTTGTAATGACCAAAAACTGGAATCAAGTATCCATCAATAGTTGAAAGAATAAGCAAAAAAAAAAAAAGAAGAAGAAGAAGAAAGAATAAGCAAAACTGTGGAATACTTATTGGCAGTGAAAGTATGAACTATTGATATAAGCAATGTGGTTGTCTCACAATAATTATGCTGAAAAATATTATGCTGACAAAAAAATTGTATAAACTATGTGATTCCATTTAAATAAAATTCTAGAAAAGGCAAACTAATCTATAGAAGGAGAAAGCAGACTGTTTGGGGAGAGGGAGGACAGGGAAAATTCCAAAGGTCCTGAGGACACTTTTGAGGGTGGTGAATATGTTTATTAACTAGATTACAGTGCTGGTTTCATGGTATATACATTTGTTAAACATAGCAAATTATTAACTGTAGATATGCACAGTTTATTGTTGGTTAACCATACCTTAATAAAGCTCTTACAAAAAATAAGTAAATCCTTTTCTTCCTCCTCTTCCTTGAAGAAATATACTGTAAAACATTTGAACTGAAATCTCCTCCCTCCTACTTTCCTTGTTAACATTGTCTATTATTTTAATTCCTCTTTATTTATTCACATTAGCCATTACTAGTAGCAGCTACAGTAGTAGTGGTATTACTAGCATAGATGATCTTTATTTCAAACTACTAATGTGCTTATCAATTTATTTGCTTTT